GGGGTTTGATTTAGGATACTACACTTTCCTGTGCTCCATTTCTATGAAATGGTGAAGCAGCTTATCTCAACTAAGATTCATAGGGCCTGATTCTGCTATAACTCACACATATTTTACTATGGTGCAACTCCATTGACTTCTAAGGAGTTATTCCTGATTTTACACTCTGGTAAAAAAAAAATCAGAATTGGGTCTGTGAACTGAAGGAGAGAAAACAGACATTTCAACTCCCTTATTCTAATCCCCTCTGAAACAGATACATCTGTTTAGACACGAAAACATACATTAAACATCTTAAAGCCAGATGTTGTTCTCTGATACTATAAGAAATGCATATAAAGGAAGAAAACTACTATTCTTTACTTCTCTCCTTGCGGCATGTGAAACTCCATATTATCCAGTTTAAATCACTCCTTGTCTTGACTGTCACCCTTCCACCACTAAGAAACCTCTCCCCAAGAAAAAGAAGTATTAAATTAACTTATCTGCTGTTTTACTTACTCTGTTGAGCTGGGTTAGAAACAGGCAAGGTTGAACAGGTTAGTCATTTCTGAGACTCTCTTCTTTAACTGCCTAGAGCCCTGTAGAACCTGGAAATATCCATATATGCAGAGGGGGCAAAGTCCAGGTCATAAAGAAGGGAGATGCCTGCCCTTTAATGGATAGGTCTGAGCCGTGGGTTGTCTCAGGAATGTTCTAGACACTGAATAGTCACGATGTGAGCAGCCTGACTGGCTATATTCAGGTCACAAATACTATAGAAATGCCCCACGTAGGCATCACTCCTAATTAGGGCCCTCCCAAATTCACAGTCCACTTTAGTAAATGTCATGGTCATAGGATTTTAAAAATTTGAAATTTCATGGTGGTGTAACCGTGGGGATCCTGCTCCAAAAGGGGGCCATGGGGTATCAAGGCTGTTGTAGGGGGGTTGTGGTATTGCCACTCTTATTTCTGTGCTGTGCCCAGCGGCAGCACGGTCATTAGAGCTGTGTGGTCGGAGCAGGGTGGCTGCTGGCTGGGCACCCAGCTCGGAAGGGAATGCTGCTGCCAGCCCTAGCACGGAAGTGAGGGTGGCATGGTATGGTACTATCCCCCCCCCCCTTACTTCTATGCTGCTGCTGGAAATGGGTCTGACCTGGCCCTGGGAGCAGCTCATGCAGGGGAAGAGGAAGTCCTGTCCCTCTGCAGTCCCGCTGGGACTAGCAGCTGGTGCTGGCACAGGGTAGGAGCCCCGGCTGGAGTGTCCCCCTCGCCCTGCCCCTCCTGGAGCTCGTGTGTGTGTTTAAAGAGGCCTTGAACTGGCTGTGTGTATGGGGTGGGGAAGGTGTGACCACTAGGTGGTTGTCCACCCGTAAGGCTGGCTCTGCCCCCCCCCCAAAGTAATGGCTTCAGAGCTGAGTTCCAGGCCAGTAGCCACCGCTCTCTGGCTGCCCAGCTCTGAAGGCAGCTCAGAAGTAAGGGTGGCAATACTGCAACCTGCTTACAATAGCTAGATTTCACAGGGGAGACCATATTTCACGGTCTATGACACATTTTTCATGGCTGGGAATCTGGTAGGGCCCTACCAATAATTTAAAAATAATATCTGCACATCCATGTTTGTTTTGCTTTGGGCTTTTAAAAGCTACCGCAACCTCTCCGGGGGGCACCACATCTGAGGATTAACTATGAAACAGGAAATCAGGTCTGTATTTTTTTTTTTATGTCAGGGAGAAAACAAATGATACTAACATTGTTAATTACGTGATAGGTGAAATGCAGTGCAGATAACAGATACCACACAGTAGACGCTCCCCATTCATTTGTTCGTTCTTTCTCATGCTTTCATTTAGAGGCCAACTGGGTAGTGGGGCCTCTTCCACTCTGCCCCTCGTTCATCTTTCCTGCTTCGCCTTCAGGTGCCCTGCCATGGTGACTCTCCATCTGAGGACTGAACACTGCTGCACTGTTTTGTGCCTTGGCCAGAGGTGGAGAGATCACTTCAGAGTGATAGGGGATTGAGTATGCTACTCTCTCCACAAGGCTCTGAGCCTAGGAACAGAAATTCGTATTTGATCTCCATTGGGACAGCGGAGTATATATCTCTTGGAGTCAGCCTATAAATGCTTTTAATACAAGGATTTTATATAAAATATACAAATGCATGTACTTGTTAAAATGCCTCAGTGGGTCCCAGTGTGCTAAATTAATTTGCTGCAAGCAACAGAAACAATTATATTAATAATGCACATAAGCCTGGGCAGCTGGGACTAAATAACCTGGTACTTCAGCTGCAAAAACACAGACTTCTACCACTTGAGCTGTCAGAACTCCCTTAGCTAATGCTAGTAATGGGTCCCAGAACCTGGTTTTTAAATTAATTCCCTAGCACAGCCTTGGCTGCAGAACACAATGAAAATGGTGTAGCTTAATAGAGAAACTACAGATGTAGAGAATTCAAATACTGATAAGGCTAGAAGTTTTTATAACACTTGTCTACTGTTGCAACTGCAGATTAGCTGACTCCTGTACTAATTGTCTATAAAAACAGACCTATTAGAAAAGAGCTGGTAGGGTTGTTTCACTGTTGAAGCTCAACAAGTTACCTTGCTTTATCTCTGCATTGCAGCTAGACTCAGCCCACAAAGAATGTACCCGTGAGATGTGAAGTATTGCTAAGTGTAAGTACTGAAAAGTCATGTCAGTCCTCCAAAAATAACACATGGAAAAAATAATGGAGAATTTTGTTTAAAGTTTGTGTGTGTGAATGTGTGTCTTTTGGGCACACTCTGGCTCTCCACAATGAGGACTAGAAACTTTGGCCTTGAACCACAAAGATATTAGGAAAAAGAAAAGGAGTACTTGTGGCACCTTAGAGACTAACCAATTTATTTGAGCATAAGCTTTCGTGAGCTACAGCTCACTTCATCGGATGAATACTGTGAAAAGTGTAAAAGATCTTTTTATATACACACAAAGTGTGGAAAAAATACCTCCTCCCACGCCACTCTCCTGCTGGTAATAGCTTATCTAAAGTGACCACTCGGGGGGAAGGGGGGTGGTAGGAAAAAACAAGGGGAAATAGGCTGGAATAGAGACTGGGTTGCTATATTACAACAAAAAAACTTCAAATCCAGACTCCAGGGAGAAACTGTTGAATTGGAATTCATTTGCAAATTGGATACAATTAACTTAGGTTACCTTGCATAATGACTTAGCCACTCCCAGTCTCTATTCCAGCCTATTTCCCCTTGTTTTTTCCTACCACACCCGTCCCCCCGAGACGTTCTTGTTAAACCCTGGATTTGTGCTGGAAATGGCCCACCTTGATTATCATACACATTATAAGGAGAGTGGTCACTTTAGATAAGCTATTACCAGCAGGAGAGTGGGGTGGGAGGAGGTATTTTTTCACACTTTGTGTGTATATAAAAAGATCTTTTACACTTTCCACAGTATGCATCCGATGAAGTGAGCTGTAGCTCACGAAAGCTTATGCTCAAATAAATTGGTTAGTCTCTAAGGTACTACAAGTACTCCTTTTCTTTTTGCGAATACGGACTAACAGGGCTGTTACGCTGAAAGATATTAGAGTGCCTAAATCCCACCATGGCAACCTACAAAATTCCTGCTGAACCCTGTAAGGCATTGAGTAAGTTTAGGCATTAAGTTTTCAAAATTCCCTAGGCAGCTACATCTGTGTCCTGGCATGCACAGTACTGCCTCACTCAAGCCAACAAGCAAGTCAGCAACCAGGGAAGACAGGCATTTGGCTACCTAAGCTGCAGGTGGGGCGTGATGTGGTAGCTATGCACAGAGGAAGGGTTACCTACCCTTCAAGATTGGCCTGGAGTCTCCAGAAATTAAAGATTAAAGACTGTCATGTGATATCTCCAGGAATACATCCAACCAAAACTGGCAACCACAGAGGCTATCAGGTAGATCATGTCCCATTCAAAATCTAGATGGAGGAAAAAGTTGTGCCCACCTTATAACATTTAGCTCACTGGTTTGAGTACTTACCTTGGACGTGGGAGACCCAGGATCATTCCCCACCACAGCAAGAGTTAGGGGGAGGATTTGATCAGGGGTCTGTCTCCCACCTCTCAGGGGAGGTGCTCTAACCACTAGGCTAAAGCCTATAAGGAGGGCAGCACCATTGTCACTACCTCCTCCTACTGTTTTGCATGGAGTGAGGTAGCTGCCCCCGAAAAAGCACCTAAGCTGCCTGACTCCAGGTCCTGGGTTCTTCGATGTGAATGGCTAAGCAGAGAGAGGCTTAGCAGGCATCCCGCTCCTTGGCATTGCCCTTTGCCTCGGTTAGGCGGCTCGCCAGGTAGTTTAGACACGCTGGCTTTGAGGATTGCATTCCTAGGGGCCTGTCGCTCCCCATTCGCTGAAAAGGGAGCCCAGCCGCCTAACTCGGGCTTCGTGTGTCGCTCTCGGGTGCTGAAGCGGTAGCCGCCAAGCCGCTCAGCTGCACCCCACCTCCATCCCTGGGTGGCTCCCACCCACGTGACGGGAAAGCGGCGTCTCCCCTTAGGACCTGGCGGCGGCAGCAGCCGCAGAAGCTTTCAGGAAAAACATCCCGTGAAAGCCTGACCCTTGGCACTAGTGCAGCAGCCGCATGCTGGGCCCTGGGCCCGTGGGTGGGCTGCTACCCCCAAAGTGGGGGCCCGCTGCGGGAGGCGCAGGCGCTGAGCGCCCCCAGCTTGACCCTGTCGCCACCTAAACCTGCCCCCTCCCCGTCAAGAGCGGCCCCCCTCGGCCCGGAGGATTAGCCCCTGGCCCGGGGCCATTTGCCAACCAAACTGCGCAACGTCGCGCGTTAGATTGTTTGGCCCCTTCAGGGCATTCCATTGACGTCATCGAGGCCCTGAAGGCCCCGCCCCCCCTCGGCTCGTTCCTCTCCGAGCCATAACAACCGCCACGCTCGGAGTGGTGGCGCGCAGAAGGGGGTGGGGCCAGACCCGGCAAGGCCCAGCCAATGAAGAGGCTCGCGAAGGGAGGCCCCGCCCCTCACGTAGCGTCGTTGGCTTCCGGGTAGGCCTTTGCGCGCGGCTGGCGGTTGCGTGGTCCGTCGTCTCCCATCTGTGCGCGAGGATGAAGGAAGCGGTGGCCGGTGGTCCCGGCGCCACCCCCGTACCCGGCTTCCTGGCGAAGCTCTGGGCCCTGGTGGAGGACCCGGGCAGCAATGATGTGATCGCCTGGGGCCGGGTAAGCGCCCCCACCCCCCTCCCGTGGGGCAAGGCGCATGCTCGGCAGCGCTACTCGTCTCAGCATCCGGGGGGGGGGGGGCGAGAGAGCAGCTGGGCGTGCCCGGGGAGGGGGAGGCAGGGGCCAGGAGGAGGTCGGGCCCAGTACGTACGACGAGGTTCATTAGCAGTGTAGCAGCACACGAGGGCAGCGTTTGCAGGGGTTCGAGCTAGTGCACGAGTAGTCCTTGGGTGTGCACGTGCACCATACCGCTTGTGCTCACTGACTGAGAAGGGGTGGGTGTGTAAAACAGGGCCGTCAATAGGTGGACTGTGGGCCAAAACTGGGCCACCAGACTTCTTTTTTTTTTTTTTTAACTGGACCCTGAAATTTTATTCTTTACTCTGGAGTCTGGACCTTGACAAAAAATAATTGACTACCCCATGTATAAAGAGTGTCTGGGTATATGTCGCATGCACACATAGTTGTAGGTAGATAGATATGCCAAGAACACAGTCTCCGTTGGTGGGTCTTGGTTTCAGATCCCTGAAAGGGGCACAGTAGTCTGGAAAGGTTGAGCACCACTGTCATATACTGTGTGAGTGCCTTTGTGTTGTTAGGATTAGCATAGTGCAACTAAGGGTATGTCTCAGAGTAGCAGCTGTGTTAGTCTGTAGTCACAAAAAGAAAAGGAGTACTTGTGGCACCTTAGAGACTAACCAATTTATTTGAGCATGAGCTTTCGTGAGCTACAGCTTGCTTCATCGGATGCATACTGTGGAAACTGCAGAAGACATTATATACACAGAGACCATGAAACAATACCTCCTCCCATGCCACTCTCCTGCTGGTAATAGCTTATCTAAAGTGATCATCAAGTTGGGCCATTTCCAGCACAAATCCAGGTTTTCTCACCCTCCGCCCCCCCCCCCACACAAACTCACTCTCCTGCTGGTAATAGCCCATCCAAAGTGACCACTCTCTTTAAAATGTGTATGATAATCAAGGTGGCCCATTTCCAGCACAAATCCAGGTTTTCTCACCCCCCCACCCCCATTAACACACAAACTCACTCTCCTCTAAGGTGCCACAAGTACTCCTTTTCTTTTTGTGGCACCTTAGAGACTAACCAATTTATTTGAGCATAAACTTTCGTGAGCTACAGCTCACTTCATCGGATGCATAAAGTGGAAAATGCATTGAGGATTTTTTTATACACACAGACCAAGAAAAAATGGGTGTTTATCACTTCAAAAGGTTCTCTCTCCTCTCCTTACAATGTGTATGATAATCAAGGTGAGCCATTTCCAGCACAAATCCAGGGTTTAACAAGAACCTCTGAGGAACAGTGGGGGGCGGGGGGTAGGAAAAAACAAGGGGAAATAGTTACCTTGCATAATGACTTAGCCACTCCCAGTCTCTATTCAAGCCTAAGTTAATTGTATCCAATTTGCAAATGAATTCCAATTCAGCAGTCTCTCCCTGGAGTCTGGTTTTAAAGTTTTTCATAATGTAAGTTGCGATATTACAACAGAAAAACTTCAAAACCAGACTCCAGGGAGAGACTGCTGAATTGGAGTTCATTTGTAAGGAGAGTGATCGCTTTAGATAAGCTATTACCCGCAGGAGAGTGGGGTGGGGGGAGAGAGAACCTTTTGAAGTGATAAACACCCATTTTTTCATGGTCTGTGTGTATAACACTGCATTTTCCCCTTTATGCATCCGATGAAGTGAGCTGTAGCTCACGAAAGCTTTTGCTCAAATAAATTGGTTAGTCTCTAAGGTGCCACAAGTACTCCTTTTCTTTAAAGGTATGTCTACACTGGAAACTTCAAAGCACTGCTGTGAGAATGATCCCGTGGCAGCACTTTGAAGTGCGAGTGTGGGCACGCGTGAGCGCTAGGAGAGAGCTCTCCCAGTGCTCCTGGTAATCCATCTCCACAAGGGGATTGGCTCTGAGGGCTGGGAGCCCACTAGCACTTTAAAGCGCTCAGACTTGCTGCACTCGGGGGTGATTTTTCTCACCCTTGAGCCTGCAAGTTAGAGCGCTATAAAGTGTAAGTATAGACATACCCTAAATGTGTTGATCAGCCAGATGCAGAATTACAAACAATTTAATTAAAAGCAATTCTCACCTTGCAATTAGTGCTTTAGAACATCAAATTCGAAAGGTTCTAATTTAACTTTGTTGCTATTTACTTCTGACGCCTAATCTTGAACAGCGAATGTGCACTAATGGATATGCTCCAAATAAATTTTAGTCTCTAAGGTGCCACAAGTACTCCTTTTCTTTTAGCAGGAGGATAGTGAAAGACCAGCCCAGCAAGTCCAAACTTGGAAATAGAATGAATGTAAAACTAGTTCAGCTACCATAAAATGGCTGTTTTTATCACTGGGTTACGCTCTTTGTACTTTCAGTATCTCTTTGAGATAATCTGTGTATTTATATGTGATGACAATTGTGAGCAAAGCAATGGAGTGCAGAGGAACCTCCTCAGAAGAAGGAAGTCGGAAAGAAGGCCTGACTTTGGGGAAAGTGGGAGAGCCATCTTGTGACTGAATTCCAACACGCACAAGCGATGCTTATATTTTGTTGGAGGAGCTGAGACTTTCTTTTAGAAAGACTGTGCCATATTATCACAGCTTATTCGGGAGGCATGCTTTTAAATGGTTTAGGCTCAACATTTAATTGGAAAGGGTTTACAGCACCTCACTGTCAATAGAAATGCTGCTGTGGATATCTTTTGGCTTTAAACTTTTCCTTGTAGTACTGGAACTCAAAGGGATCCTATCAACTTAAAAATCTGTCTGAATTTATTTTACTTGCTCCTTAAAGAAGCCATTTCAGGTAGTTACCAGCCTAGAAGGCATTTGCATCTAAGCAGTTTGGAAATGTATTGTTCTTTAATTTGTACCCTTACTTTGCTTCTAGGGTGGCCAGAGCTTTTGCATTTTGAATGAGCAGAGGTTTGCTAAAGAGCTACTTCCCAAATACTTCAAACACAACAATATTTGCAGCTTCATACGTCAGCTCAATATGTGTAAGTAATGGCTGTTCTTGTGTGTCAAATGCTGCTAAGTTTGCTACCACGTAATATGGAATATCTTTAAACAAAGGAATGGAGTTGACTGGGGGTTGAGTGCTCTGACCTTTTTACCCCTGAAGCTGTGGGGTCTAATCTAGAGCCCTGTGTGGGACTAGTGTAGAGGCCTGCGGGAGGACCAGGATCCTGTGGGTCATGCAAGACTGACTGCCATAATGGTTGGAGTGGTATTCAAAATAGTCCCATACAAGGCTTTAGTCTAGTCTTGAGCTTGGCTCACAACAGAAGAGGTGTATGGTGGTGGAGTTCATCCCAGACTTGGCTTGTATGCCTCACAAACTGCTGCTCACTTGGGTGCTATAGTTGGTCTCTGCTCAAGAGGATCCAGAGCTAAAATAACAGAGAATGTTGTTTGGGATGATGTGTATTGGCAGAGCTGTGCAGGGGATGCTTGCATTCTGTATTTGGCTCCAGCTAGTGCTATTAATACTGCATTTTCGTGAGTACTAAACTTATAAATATTTAAAAGGAAGAAAGGCTATATGTACACACATGCATTCGTCTTTTGGAAGACAAAATGTTCTAGTCTGTGCGGCATGGTTATGTTGAAACAGGATTAGTCACATTGATACATCAGCTGGATTAAGTTTCTCATTCATAAGCAGCTTTTTTTTTTAGCGCCCTCCTTGAAAGTATGGTGCATTGTTCTTCTTATAACACCATAAATGTGCCCTATACAGTTCCTCAGCCAAGGCTGAATGAGGTTCTGCTCCAAAGACACAATACAGTGCTACGCTGCAGAACAAGCAGGTTGTTGTCTGGTAGCTGGAATACTTCATGGGACAACTGGAGATGGAAACGATATAGAAAAACTACCCTTAGTGAAACTTCCAGTGTTTATCACTTTAAAATTTTCAGTCAGACTATGTTGTGTAACCCCAGGAAAAAGAGTAGGGTACCATGGGGAAGTCCCAGACTTATCAGAAGAGCTGGATGAAATTTATTTTTGACAACAAATGCAAATTTGGGTCAATAGAAACATTTCCACAAGTTCATGTTGAATTCACTATTCTGTTTCGATTTGGAAAGAACAAAATCCAAAAATCAAAATGTTTTGTGTCCACGCTTTCAGAATGTTTTGATTTCTCTCAATTCGAAACAACTTTTCATTTAGAATTTTGCTTCAATTTCATTAAAGGTTTGCACGCACACACATATTCCCCCTCCCCCCCCAACGAAACATGTTGTTTGACCCAGGAACAAACTATTTTTGTTTGTGGGTTTTTTGGGGGAGAGGGTTGCTTGTGTTTCTTCCTCCCCACTCCAATTCGGCCAATGAGCCAAAAAATCAGTTACTCACATAGCTCTGCTTACCTGTGACCCTTCCCTGGGGTATAATTCTTTAGGAACTATGTCCGTGAACTGGAGGAGTCAGCTACTGAATGTTCCTGATCACTGCAAACAAAAGCACTCTTTACTTTTGGAGAGCCTCCCTTGTCACGAATGAAAGGAAGGTATTTCATTATTTCAGACCCCTTTTTGAAGGGAAAGGAGGATTAAAAGACTTGCAGAAGAAACAGATTTGCAGTGGCTTGACGGAATGATACTGGGATTTAGTCATTTCACAACATTCCCTTGGATTATGTTGGGAAGTGACGAAGGAACTCTGCCCTTGGCTGAGTAGATTTGTACAGACTTGTCCACATCTCTGATGGTTAGATTCTATATTGGATGTAGGAGATGAGGGGATCTGTTAATCTCTTGGCATTTAGGGTGAAGTGGATGACCTCTGAGCATCCAAGGATTAAATAAACAGTTACTAGTTATCTTGTGGCAAGACTGGATTTAAACATGTAAAAGCTCCCCTGTCCCACAAAGAAACACAGATGTATGGGGCTTGATATTCCTGCTGGGCCCAGCCAGGCGTTGAGTGCAGTTTTCAGACTTGTTACCCAGAGAGCTGTATCCTGGTAACCAGACGATGTTGTTGTTTACGTTGGAAACTTAGGTTGGGAGTAGCAAGAACCCATATTACCCCTCAAGAGTGTGCTCTGCATCCTCATCATAGTATTTATGGCACTGATGGAAGTAGAACACAATGCCACCATGCTATTTTTAGAGCAGACATGCTGCTTTCCTGCTGAGTGATGTAGGGAGAGCGGCACATGTGTGTGTTCATACATAAACTGAGCCTAACTCTCCCCTGGGCTGTTCTCCTCTCCCTTCCCTACATTATTTTTCTAATCGAGGGTAGTACGTGAAGATGCAGTTTCTGATGCATTCAGTTGCCATGTGAGGGTAAGAGCGAGAGATGAACAATGGGTAAAATCATGGCTCCATTTAAGTCCATGGTAAAACTCCCATATACTTCAGTTGGGCCAGGTATTTACCCAAGGTATCCTAACAGGTCATATCTCTCTCTCTAACTTCCCTGATTCCTTGGAAATCACTGTTCAGCTCTTTCCTCCCAGTCCTATACCATGCCTGCTTTCCAAACAACATCCACTTTCATTCCCTGGGAATGGAATCTGTTAGCCCATGTCGTTACACTCCATAGTACTGCAGGTGCATTCTCTGGCTGTGAAGTTCAGCATCGGTTAAGTGGCTGAGGGCTGGGGAAAGGTTATTTGGTCTCTTTCAGGTCCTGCTTTTGTTAACTTTATTCTTACGTGCTACAGCTATTATCATCTTACATGGATTTGGTTTTTATTGTTTAACTGCATGTTTTGAATTTCCTTTTGGCTGCTGAGAGAAATTAGTGCTCTAATCTTTCCTCAACAGATGGGTTCAGGAAAGTGATTGCCTTGGAGAATGGTATGATTACAGCAGAGAAGAATGCAGCCATTGAATTCCAGCACCCTTTCTTTAAACAAGGGAAAGCAAACCTACTGGAAAACATCAAACGAAAGGTATAGTGCACTGAGCGTATTCATTCTTTTATCAAAGGTAGTTTATGTGGAATAAGCTGTTGGGTCTTAGTCTACTTCCTAGCCAACAAATTCTGCATGACCAAAAAAAGCACGGTCTCACTTGTGCACAGATTTTTTTTTTCTGCTGCCCTGTTCAACAGATAATCTGAGGATTGGGTGTTGCCATATAGACCGAATTCCACATGCAGCCCCTTCAGGTTATCCTGGTGTAATGTAGAGGACGCTTGCCCCATTTATGTTGTACCTCTCCTGAGGAAAAACAGATGACCTTAGTCTGCAGGGCCATCAACCTAGTGCACTTTTTTCCACATACTAAACTCACACACTGAGTCTGTCTTGTAACAACTGCTTTGTAAAAACAGTATTTGATCATTAGATGCCAAAATCTCCTTACCAAGCAGCGCGCACCCAGAACATTATTGTGCTGAGTGTAGTGTGGACATTCAGCAGTGTGCAAATGTGCATTGAGCTCTGTGGAAGATCCTTTTGGCTCTTGTGTTGCCTGAGTTGTTAAAGACCAGGATGTAGATGTGAGGACTAGTTAGGAAGCTACAATTTTATTTTGGTCGATGCCCTATCTTGTGATTTCAAGTTCATGCAGCTCAAGTGCACCAAATATATATGCTGTTCTGATGCTGCCATCTCCTCCCTTCACACACCCCCCCCGCCCTCCCTATTTCCTACAATTGTTAGCTTTTTTGGGTCAAAACCTATTTTCTGGTTCCACAGAGCGAGTATGTTGGAATAGTTGGCTCACGTCGTCTCCTAAGACCGTTACGTTAGATGGAGTCCTCTAACCTGGAGACACAAGGTTCTCTGGGAATTGGTGCTGTGCTTAGAATGAAGCAGGCAGGATCAAAATGCATTTTGATCAGGATACCAAGTATGCATGTTAATCTCTAGTGTATTACTGATTATTAGCATCTGCAGCCACATTAGCATAGAATCATAGAGATGGGAAAGAATTAAGTCTCTAGTCCACACCTGGTAATTCTGGATTATCTAGTTGCTACTCTAAATACAACTATCTAGATCCCAGTAAACTTCTAGCTTGCTGCCTTGTTATTGTGATATGGGCTGGTTTCAGAGTCTATAATGTGCAATAAGAAGGGTTTTTTTGTAGCTTTCTGGTTACAGCAGGTTTGTACTCTAGCAGTATTGGCAAATTTTCATGTCAGTAATATAGAGAGTCCTTGAGGGGAGAAGACTGAATCTGTGCTAAACTTTCAGCATGATGCATGGTGTTAAATACCCACCCTACCATGATAGCCACACTCCTTTTGGCTTCCTGATTCTGTACGCTTTTAAGGCTAAAAGGATCTAAAGATTGTGGAATATTGTTTCTTTGGGGAACAAGCGTGAATGATCAGTAGTAGATTGTGTCTGCACTGGTGTGATCTCTCATGCACCGAAGCATGAGTTTATAGTTCAATTTTACCTAATCCATCGAGGCAATCCAGACACTGTTCTTCTGCAGAATCAATAATCAAATTGTACTGTTCCTTATAAAAATGAAATGCATGAAGTATAGACCTTAATAAAGCACCTGCAACCCAATTCCATTTTAGGTGTCTGCAGTGAGAGCAGAGGATCTCAGAGTCTGTTCGGAAGATTTACAGAAAGTGCTTTCTGAAGTCCAGGAAATGAGAGAGCAACAGAACAACATGGATGTCAGACTGGCTAGTATGAGGAGGTAGATGATGTCTGTATTTCAGATGAATATATATTTTGGACATTGATTGTATCTAATTAATGGACCCAAACTTTAGTTTCCTAGCTTAGGAGTTTCATATTAATCAAAAGCATATAGCTTAATTATTGTCCTGTACTTTCCTTTGAATAATCCATGTTCCAGTTTTCTGTGTTTCATTTACCTACATGGCTCAGCAACTCCAGTATGCAGAGCCTGGGACTGTGAATCTGTTAACACTCATGCAATTTCAGTTTGATTACTAGTCTCAGAATCCATGCCAATGTTTGTGTTCTAGTTGATGATTGCAGCAGGAAATGACTTAGTCTTCCTAAATACAAAACAGGGTCAGTTGTGGTTGTGTGAGAGGAGGTCAGGTGTAAGTTGAATTTGCATGTCCTAGTCTCTCTGTTCCTGCAGATCCATTCCTATGGACACTGGGTTATCCCGTTCTGACCTCTGACAAGCAAGCAGCACCAACCAAAGTTGGTAAGTATTTTCATCCCCTGCTAAACATTCTTTTGTGTTTCTTTGAAGTAGCCATTCAGATTGCTCTGAGATAGTCCTTGCTACGCTGAGCCTCTCCTTCTCTGAGCATCACACAGTGATGACCAGTTAGAAGAAAGCTATGAGCATAGGTACCTCAGGAGGCTTTGGATGGACACCTCAGACCAAAATGAGTGGCTGAGCAGCAGAGGATGTGAAAATCCCCAGTACCAATTGGTTGGTCCAGCCTGATGGAGGATGGAGCGAGTTTAACCCAGAGTCTGGATTGGTGGGTCTGAGTCACTGATTCCCAGTTACCCAGGGAAGGAATGTTGTCTTCAGTCCCTCAGGCTAGTATAAACTGTGGAAACTGTGCAACTAGAGCATAGGAAGTAAACTCTCTGTTTATCCCTCCCACCTGATTTATTCTGTGTTGTAGGGAAAATAAAGCCCTGTGGAAAGAAGTGGCTGTTCTAAGGCAGAAGCACAGCCAACAACAGAAGCTGTTGTCTAAGGTACCATTGCAGCCTCTTCAGTGCTACTATCCTTATTCCTGCCTGTCGGTGACATTCCGTGGCATTCTTTCATTATGTAGAATGACAGATGATGCTGTTATACGAGCATTGTTGTTGTAGCTTTGTTGGTCCCAGGATATTCGAGAAACAAGGTAGGTGAGGTAATATCTTTTATTGGACCACCTTCTGTTGGCAAGAGACAAGCTTTTGAGCTTACACAGAGCTCTTCTTCAGCTCTTCTCTCACCAACAGAAGGTGGTCCAATAAAAGATATTAACTCACCCCCATGCGCGCACGCACACACACACACCCCGCCCCCCCGTCTTAACTCTGCAAGAAACAGGCCATATTAATCCACCCTAGGAAAAGCAATCACAGTTATTATACATCCAGCGGGAAGTGGGGCAGAGAATTTTAAGAGGAGTGTTCAGGGAAAGTTTCAGGGAAAATGATTGAGCATGTGGGAAAATTAGGAGGCTGAATGAAGGTGGATTGTTTAGGTCCTAAACCAGGGATTTGAAGTATATGTGGTGCACAGAGGTGCACTGGGCCTGTCCCATACAGGACCTGGGAGAAAACCTTGCTGTTCACAGTAGAAATGGGGAAAACAGAGGCTTTGTCTACACCAGAAAGGGTTTGCTGGTATAGTTCTACCAGCGCACCCTCAGCTTATGCCAGCAGAAGGACAGCATCTACCTTAAGACTTTTGCTGGCATAGCTGTGTCGATTAGAGATGTGATGTGTGTGGTTTTGTTTTTTGTTCTTTCCCACACTCCTAACTGGCATAGATAGCTATGCCATCAAAGCTTTTAAATGTACATCAGGCCAGAGTGTGGGATTTGGGAACTGCAGGGACCTTGGTGGAGAATAGAAAATCATGAAATTGTGAACGAGTACAGCTAAATCTATGAAAAAGGAACAGGAGTACTTGTGGCACCTTAGAGACTAACAAATTTATTTGAGCATAAGCTTTTGTGGGCTACAAGATCTATCGGGGATCTTGAAGACCAGGAGAGCGAGGCTGCTGAATTCTGGCAGTGAAGATTTTTGAAACTGAAAATTTAGGAATTGTCCTGCTGAAGGAACTTCATGGTCTGTTTGGTCTGTATCCTGTCTGTGGTGATTGTTAATACTTCATGCTTCAAAGAAATATTTTTTTTAACTGTTAATTCACCTACCTGGGATGATCTAATTTTGGGGGCCCTCTTATTTTTTATTTTTTTTTTTTCCTTAATCTAAAGACAGTCACGCCAATTGGTAGTATTTATATCTAACACATCTACTCTCTGCTGATAATTTTGTAGCGAAGCCAATACATTGATACTGAGTCGATTCTTGGTATCCATCCATTTGATCACATTTTCTTTGCTTTCCTCAGATCCTTCAATTTATACTAAGTTTGATGAGAGGAAACTACATTGTGGGAGTCAAGAGAAAAAGGTAACTAATTTTGACTATTTGGTGGCCAAAGAGCTCTTGTAAAGGTCCCTTAAACACTTACTTTTATTATTTTTCCCTCCTTTCCTAGCTCATTCTTTTTTTTTTTTTTTTTAAACCAAGTCATCAAATTTCGTAAATGGAGACTTTTGAAAGATTTTACTTTTTTGGACTATAACACCCCCGCGCTCTCTCTCAGAAAGACGGGTGGCGCATGTCTGTCTATATGCATGTGAGAAAGAAACAGCGGTGGGACGTGTGTCTTCCTAACTGTGCTGCCAGTGCAGGCTTCTTCTGAATTTTGCATGTGCCCTTTTTTTTTTGGTTACTGTTAAAATTGTAGCTCTGCTAATTGAAATGCGGCTTTGTGATTCTGTGGTTTTTATGTTGTGGGGCTATGAAGAGCTTGTCCTAAGAGTTGCTGTCCAAGTTTTTCTGTCCAGACTCTTTTCAAAGCAAATATGAGCAAATTCCTTCTCATTCTTATTTATTTATTATCATTTGTATTGCATTTGTATTGCAGTGTCAGAACCCTGTTTATGCTGGGCAAAGCATGTGAAAAAATTATGCCTGCCCCCAAGAGTTTTCCCTCTTATTCAATAAAACAAGTGTGTGTGTGTGTGAGACAAAAATACAAAGGATGAGGATAACAGTAATGAAAGCAAGCATTTTACACCAACTGTTTGATGGCTTTGAATCTCTTAAATATTAGTCCCTTCCTAGGTGCCCTTAGCAAATGCTGCTGCTATTCTACATAAGCAAGTATGTGAAATCGGGCATTACTATGACTTGTGCTCCTATTCTTAACTATGCATTACAGCTATATATATACATTATATATATATATATATTTTTTTTCTCAGATCTCTAACAGATGCGTCAGGCGCCTCACCTTCTAAATTCAGCCGGCAGTATATTCACCTACCTGTGGAGCATGGCAATGCGGTAAATTTTGAGGGGGCATTTAGGATAATGGATGTGTTTGTCATTGTATGGTCTGTTGAGGATATTATGGTTGCAAGATTGCTCAACTTTGGGTGAAACATTTCTGATTCTGATATAGAAAATGTTAAAGCTATTGCTATGTCCTCAAAACAATGGAAATACAGAGTTTGATGTTAAAAAAAAAAAAAGTCTAAATGTGGAACACCAATTGCAACAAGAATTAAAGACTGAGACCTTAATATGCCGGATGATTGATTTTTTTTTCTTTATATTGTTTCCTGTGGCATGCAGGTGGCTATTTCTGAACATGATCCAAACGGTGAAAATGATACAGGCATCATTATTCAAGATGTCACCAACACTGTGGATGATGCCACTGATGAGCTGCTCACTCTAGTGCATACAAGCGGAAGTGATGGGTATGAATGAGAATGTGACCGTATTCAGACATTTTTAATACTTGTCATGATAACCTAAGTGGCACTGCTTGAATCTAAAAATGTAACAGCCTAAACAAATCTTTAAATATATTCAGTGCATTACAGGTTGGTTTGTTTTTAAAAGCTGTTAGAAAACATGAAGATCATTTGGACACTAAGCAAAGCACTTAAGTGGGTTCTTCTCTTTAAACATGGAAATGGTCTGATTTGAATCAAAGTAAACACCTTGAGTTGAATTCTGTGGGACTATTTACCTGCTTAAAATTAAGCACATGCTCAGGCTCTTACATGCTGAGGCCCTGGTACGATAATATCTAAAGCAAACCTTAGAGTTGTTACCCAAGTCTGGGCAGTTACCTTGATTCTACATAACAGTTAAATAGGTGGGGTGGAGGAAAACCTCCAGCCTGCAACCTCAGACTCTTGTAGAATATTTGGGAGGAACAATATAAAACAGCCAAATGGGGCCATGATGATCTGAAGGTGGGACTCAGTTACTGTATTGGCTGAAGACTCCAATGTAGTCGCCTAACAAATGTTTGTAAATTTGGCAATCTTCGTCTTTAGAAACTATGCCAAAAGTAAAAGGAAGGTCAATGTTTCTTGTGTGTCTCAGCCCAGGGAAAAGAGATCTTTGTTCCTAAAGAAAATCTCTTGTCCCTGCATGCTGAATGAGGAACCATGTAAAGCATGGAGTCTTTGAAACACATGGTTTCTCTTTCTCTCAATCTGCATGTCTTACAAAGTCCTAAGCCACACAGTTGTCGGCAACCAATACCAAATGCAGTCTCCCTTCAAAGCTTTGTAGTTCAAGTCTAGCATGATCTCCCATTTTTAGGGAGGATTTTTTTCAGCTCATGTCTTCAGATACTACTCCAGTTCTTCAAAATAGAATGTTCTGTTATAGTGCATTATCTAAGCTATAATAAGTGATTCTCCACCTCTCCTTTTATAAGGGTATTTTCACTAATTTTACAAGGGCCTGGAATGATGAATTGAGCACTCAAAGGATTTAATCTGTTAGACTTAAATAAAAGGCATTGAGAACTGAGATATTAAAGCTTGTAATGGGAAATCTGACAGCCTCTATGCTGTTGAGGAGGATGAAAATCTCAGGGAAGAAGGCCATCAAGATGGAGTGAACCCTTCTTCCAGGTGATGTCACAGTATCCTTTCACACTGTGGATACCCCCCTGGGCAAGGGAACCCCAGTTATTAGGAAGAGACAGGTAATTGTAGTGGGTGATCTGATTAGTAGAAATATTGATAGTTGGGGAAGGTAGGGGAGAGGTCATGGAGGCTGGATTTAGACTGTCAGGTAAGAGATTGAAGTCCAGGACTCCATGGTAGCATTCTCTGAAATTAGTCCTAAGTGGAGAACAGAATTTGGTCCAATAGTGTTACACAGATAAAACTAAACAGGATCGTTTCAGGGGACGAGAGAAGATGTGACATTTATTATAATAACACAATTTGATTTATGACTACTAACTCTGTGTGTGTGTGTGTATGTGTAATATATATATATATATATATATATATATATAAATGTTCTGCAGCTGCTGTATAGTTACCAGTCCTGAATGTAGCTGAGTTCGTGGCTGGGTTCGTAGCTTGTGGTGGCTAACTGGCCAGGAAAGCCGGGCACAAGGAAGAGCTGGGTCTCTTTTGGGCATACACCGATGCCCTTCCATGTTGGCAGCAGAATGTTACCCTCCAAAGTCTGCCATCTCACCCATCCTTTTTGTAGGCTTTAGTTTGAATCCAGAGTCTATAGGTCTTTGGTGTGATTGATCACCCGTCAATTGCAGACATGACTGTCAGCCTAGGACCTGGTTTTGATGTTTCTTCAATTGTACTTTTGCCCTTTTCCTTTTAGGGTGGACTCTTCTTGCTTTGTCAGGGCTGTTGTCTGCATCTTCAGCCATTGGTGTTTCCACTTTATTTCATCAGGACAGGCAGGGGCTAGAGGTTGATTCCATCATCCATACGTACCTCATTCACACATCTAAACTAATAAGATTACAGCAGGGTTTTGCAAAAATGAAGGTTGCAGCAAGCTTTTACAAAATGGAGTGAGCGTTTTAAAATGGAGTTTGGGACAAGTTAAAATGGAGTTTGAGTTACAATATGGACAAGTGTAAGGAATGGCAAACAGTGAACAGAAGTTACAATGTTGAAAGTTTAAGTTGTAAGTTTCAGCGTTTTAAGCAGCAATTGGATTGAAAGTGGAACTCAGTTAGCCAGTTATTGGGGTAACTGGTTTTATGAATGTTGTTTCATTCATAAAACTTTGCTTGTGAAGTTATATTAATAAAGTGAACAATTAAAAACAATTTCATTGATCAGTTCTACAATATCTGAACCACTCAATAATTACCATAGTGTAATTACATTTTACAGGGTGGAAAATATGAAAGAAACCCACCACAGTAGTACTTCATGTCAAAAGCAGAACTATATAAAAATAACGAGGTTGGTTAAATGTAAATTAAAGGGAACAGTCATAAGAATGAAATGCCTGCTAGCTGCACAGAAATTTCTAAAAAAACCAAACTCTACGATAGAGGCTCAAACTAAATGCAAATTAAAAAAAAAACCCAACCGGTAATAGGACTAAAAAATGCCACCCTGGCTAAACAGTTTAAAAAAAAAAATTTTTTTTTTTAATTAGAAGTCAAATCCTACTGAGGAAAATGGAATGGAGCATAAACTCTGGCACGTCAAGTGTAAAAATAAAATTAGGCAGGCCAAACAAGAATTTGAAGAACAATTAGCAAAAGACACAAACTAACAGCAAATTTTTTTTGTGTGTGTTAGAAGCAGGAAGCCTGCTGAGCAACCAGTGAGCCACTGGACAATTGAGGTGCTAACGGAGCACTCAAGGAAGACTACCCATTTATGGAAAAGCTAAATTAATTCTTTGTGTTAGTCTTTGCTGCAGAGGATGTGAAGGAGATTCCCACATCTGAGCCATTCTTTTTAGATGACAGATCTGAGGAACTGTCCCCAGTTGAGATGTCAGTAGAGGAGGTTTCTGAACAAATTAATTAATGTAACAGTAATAAGTCAAAAGGACCAGATGGTATTCACCCAAGAGTTCTGAAGGAACTCAAATATGAAATTGCAGAACTACTAATTGTGGTATGTAACCTATCACTCAAATCAGCTGCTGTGCCAGATGGGAAGGTAACAAATGTAACACTGGTTTTTCTGTTTTGTTTTGTTTTAAAAAGGCTCCAGAAGCAATCCATGTAATTACAGGCCTGTAAGTCTAACTTCAGTATCAGACAAATTGATTGAAACTGTAGTAAAGAACAGAATTATCATAGCATGAACACAATACGTTGAAGAGTCAAAGTGGCTTTTGTAAAGCGAAAGCATGCCTCACCAATCCATTAGAATTCTTTGAGGGTGTCAAGAAGCATGTGGACATGGGTGATCTAGTGCAAGACAAGCCCAAGAAAGAAACCAACAGAACTCCACTGGCCATCACATACAGTCTTCAGCTAAAACCTCTCCAGTGCATCATCAGTGATCTACAACCCATCCTGGACAACGATTCCTCACTTTCACATGCCTTGGGAGGCAGGCCAGTCCTCGCCCACAGACCTGAAGAATATTCTCACCGGCAACTACGCACTGCACCATAGTAACTCTAACTCAGGAACCAATCCATGCAACAAACCTTGATGCCAACTCTGCCCACATACCTACACCAGCAACACCATCACAGGACCTAACCAGATCAGCCACACCATCACCGGTTCATTCACCTGCACGTCCACCAATGTAATATACGCCATCATGTGCCAGCAATGCCCTTCTATGTACATTGGCCAAACTGGACAGTCCCTACATAAAAGGATAAATGGACACAAATCAGATATTAGGAATGGCAATATACAAAAACCTGTAGGAGAACACCTCAACCTCCCTGGACCCACAATAGCAGATTTAAAGGTAGCCATCCTGCAGCAAAAAAACTTCAAGACCACACATCAAGGAGAAACTGCTGAGCTTCAGTTCATTTGCAAATTTGACACCATCAGCTCAGGATTCCACAAAGACTGAATGGCTAGCCAGCTACAAAAGCAGTTTCTCCTCCCTTGGTGTTCACACCTCAACTGCTAGAAGAGGGCCTCATCCTCCCTGATTGAACTAACCTCGTTATCCCTAACCTGATTCTTGCTTGCATATTTATACCTGCCTCTGGAAATTTCCACTACGTGCATCCGACGAAGTGGGTATTCACCCACAAAAGCTTATGCTCCCATATGTCTGTTAATCTATAAGGTGCCACAGGACTCTTCGCTGCTCTTCTAGCGGATATAACTCATAGCTCAGTAGTTTGAGCATTGGCCTGCTAAACCCAGGGTTGTGACTTCAATCCTTGAGGGGGCCATTTAGGGATCTGGGGCAAAAATTGGAGATTGGCCCTGCTTTGAGCAGGGGGTTGGACTAGATGACCTCCTGAGGTCCCTTCCAACCCTGATATTCTATGATGTGATATAGTGTACTTGGACTTTCAGAAAGCTTTTGACAAGATCCTACACCAAAGACTCTTAAGGAAACTAAGCAGTAATAGGATAAGAGGGAAGGTCCTTTAGTGGATGAGTAACTGGCTAAAAGATAGGAGGAAAAGGTTAGAAATAAATGGTCAGTGTTCAGAGTGGAGACAGGTAATGACACCTCCCCCCGCCCCCCAACAATGTGTACTGGGACCAGTACGATTCAACATATTCATTAATGATCTGGAAAAAGGAGTAGAGAGTAAGGTGGCAAAGTTTGCAGACAATACAAAATTACTGAAGATGGTTAAGTTCAAAGCAGACTGTGAAGAGTTCCAGAGGGATCTGCTAAAACTGGGTATGTGGGCAAGAAAATAGCAGATGAAATTCAATGTTGATAAATGCAAAGTAGTGCAAGTTGGAAAATATAGTCCTTACTATACATATAAAAGGATAGGATCTAAATTAAATGCTTTCTTGAGTGATAACAATCCTGGACTCATCATGAGTAGTTCTAACGTCTGCTCATTGTGCTTTGTCAGCCTAAAAAGTTAACAATGTTAGGAGTCATTAGGAATGGGATGGCAATAAGACAGAAAATATCATAATGCCACTATATAAATCCATGGCACACCCACACCTTGAATATCGGGTGCAGTTCTGGTCGCACCATCTCAAGCGGTTTGTTAGAATTAGAAAAAGTAAAGAGAAGGGCAACAAAAAGGATTAGGAATATGGAACAACTTCCATACAAGGAGAGGTTGAAAAGATTGGGACTGTTCATCTTAGGAAAGAGACATACAAGAGGGAATATGATCGAGGTCTATAAAATCTTGATTGGTGTGGAAGAAGTGAATCAGGAAGTGTTATTTACCCCATCACATAACACAAGAACTGGGGTCATCTAATGAAATGAATATACAGCAGGTTTAAAACAAAGGAAGTACTTTCATACAACACACAGCCAACCTGTGGAACTTGTTGCCGTGGAATGCCGTGAAGGCCAGCAGTATAACTGGGTTCAAAAAAGAATTGAATTAAGTTTATGGAAGAGAGGTCCATCAATGGCTGTTCACCAAGATGGTGAGGGATGCATCCCCCTGCTCCAGGTGTCCCTAAACCTCTGTTTGCCATAAACTGAGATTAGACAACAGAGAATCAGTCACTCGCTAATTGCCCTGTTCTCTTCATTCCCTCTGAAGCATCTGAAGGCCGGATACTGGGCTAGATGGACCATTGGTCTGACCCATTATGGATGTTCTTATGTTTTTATGAAGTATTGTAGTAGCTGAGCTCTCCTGAGACTTTTCATTATGTGTCTTATATTTCTTAGAGAGCTCCAGACCACTCAAGAACATGATCTGCCTGCCTATGAAGCATCACAGCCCATTGAGTTAAGTCATACAGAACCAGACTATCCAGCCCAAGTTGCTGACAATCCTTTCAAGTCCAGTGCAGTAGGAAATCATGCCGTAGAGCTGCATTCCACACAGGTTAATGCTCCTGAAGATCCTGCATCAGTGATTGACTCCATCTTGAATGAGAGCAACTCCACAACTCAAAGCGATGCTTTTCTGGAGAGGTACAAAGTATCTTTATATTTGATTCTGGTGACTAGCCTATATACTAGTATTTTTGTGACATTACATTGTGTTAATTTTATAAAATGCTTCTGATTACAGATGTATGTACATATTGGAACACAGCAAATACCTTTGAAAAGCCTAGACCTCCCTCTCTTCCCTCCATTAATCATACATACATACAAACAATATCAGGGCTGGAAGGAACCTCAGGAGGTCATCTAGTCCAACCCCCTGCTCGAAGCAGGGCCAATCCTCAATTTTTGCTCCATATCCCCTAAATGGCCCCCTCAAGAATTGAACTCACAACCCTGGGTTTAGCAGGCCAATGCTCAAACCACTGAGCTATCCTTCCCCCAGAGACCCCACTCCTCATTCAGAAGCTTTGGAAAAGAGATGGGTCTTGCTCCATATGTAGAAGGTCAGCACAATCTATACTAGGTTAGGGGGAGTGAATTCCAGAGCTGTGAGTCATTCACAGAGAATGCATGCCCTCCGGATACTAAAAATCTCAGGACTGTCCCCTCAAATGGCCCAGCTGTCAACTACCATGGCAGTTTGTGGAGAGAGAGGCAGACTTCCTGCTAGTCAGGAGTCATGCTGTACATGGTAGGACTTTAAAAATCAGAGTCAGCAACTTGAAATGCACCAAGAAGAAATCAGAAAGCCAGTGGAGTTGTTGAAGATTTTATGTAATAGTTCCATGCAGCTGGTGCTATCAGGCAGGCAGCTGCAGTTTCTAAGCCCTGGTCTACACTGAGGGGCGGGGGGGATCGATCTGAGTTACGCAACTTCAGCTACGTGAATAACGTAGCTGAAGTCAGCATTCTCAGATCAACTTACCGCAGTGAGTCGACTGCTGCTCCCCTTTCGACTCTGCCTGTGCCTCTCACAGCAGTGGAGTACAGAAGTCAACAGGAGAGCACTCGGGGGTCGATTTATTGCGTCTAGACGAGACATGATAAATCGACACCCCCCCCCCCCCCACTGGATCGATCGCTGCCCACCGATCTGGTGGGTAGTATAGACCTACTCTAAGGGACATTTGTAAGCTGGCTCCCTGTGGAGCATTTGCAGTTATCCAGTCTACAAGTCACAAAGGTATGCACAGCATTCGTGAAGTCCAGATCAAAGAGACATGGTCCTGAATACTTTAAAGTGAAAGCAGGTGTCTTCATCTATCACTGCTGCTAGTAGTAACTGGTGATATGCAAGTACTCTCCAACTGCAAATCCCTTGAGCAAAGTAGTTGTGGTAGGAACCATACACTTCTATACTTTGCCTGCAACCCTCTATCATATACTGCATCTTGTTCAGAGTTAGCTTTAGCCAATTTGTTCCCCTCCAAATGCCATTCTCAGTCAAGCACTAGGAAAGTAAAAAAAATGCCAAACCCTCTGGATCTGATGGGAATATTAGACACAGATCTGTGTCTCTAGTATCCTGATGGCATCCCAGCCCAAATCAATCTCGCTATCTTTCTCACTTGCTCCTCATACACATTGAACAGGACTGAATGGAATCTGGCATGAAAGAGCCCTCGTGGAAAAGGAGTAACTGTCCAAAACAACACACTCAGATCAACCTTATGATACATGTGATCAAAACATTCTGAGACGACAGCCCAGGCAAAAAAAGCATGTGACAGCTGTAAGGAGAATGCTGCAGTAGGCTGTGTTCAGTAAACCCTGCAAGACAGGATAGCAGTATTGCGTCACTTCTTAAATTTAAAAAAAAAACACACAGCTTTTCCTCAACACAATAGTTTGTAACATACCCACTCCAATTCTTCTGTCTTCAAATTGATAAGTGGTTTGAGTTATTGTTTCACAAACTATTCAAGGTTTCAAAGGAAAAAAATAGGTGGAACCTCTAAAGTAATTTTTTTTTCTTCTGTATCATACAGAAAGCTGTTGGTCATGTGTGGCTAATGGAAAGCAGGTATCGTCTGTTCTCCATCTGTGCCAGCATTCTCAAAATAAGCCCGAGAATAGGGTGATGCTTAATACTACTTGGCAGGATCCAGTGGAAATAGGTCTCATTTCCTGAAATTGAGCATTGTATATTCTGGGTAGAAATCTCTAACTTAATTGGATCTGTCAATATTATAACATGGCAAGTACCTATTCTAAAAGTGAATGTTAGCATACATGAGGGGAGCAATAAACATCTAGCTGGACTTCTCCCAACCGCCCCAAAAAATCCTTTGCCTCTGGCAGGGGTTTGAGGCTGTCAGCAGTGAATTTATATGCTGCTGGGAAAAGAGGTTAGGCTGATCAGCCCCACAAACTGAAGTGCTTTCTTATCCTACAGAACAGGTATCTCAGTGACAATGACCATGAAGGTTTACACATCCAAGTTCTGGAGCAGCTGGAGAGTTAATTCTCAATGGTCCATTCAGCCTTAGCTGGGATTGCAAATAAGGGGACCAAATAGTGCCATTTTTGTGAGTTCTCTTTTTATCTAATGTGGACTCCTATCCAATAGAAGCTGGACTGAGACTAGCTCCACATAAGCCATGTGGAAAACCATTAGTGACTGTTGGTCACTACTGACATGGGCTAGGTTTGGATCAACTTAGAGGTGATAGTCTCTCTGCCATCCAGTCCTCTAGCAGCACATACTCTTATAATTAACTCTTGCTTTAGGTTGAATGTGCCTTTATTCCGTTACATAAGAAGAGACAGCCATATTGACAAGATTGGTTACTGGAAAAATGATGTCTAATTAACTCCTTTTCATAGTGACCGTAGTGCTATCCTTCAGGGATGAATAGCAGCAATAATTCACAGTTGTTGGAGTGGTGGGTGCAAATCCCCAATATCCAGTGGGATATCACCTCACTGAGAACTCAAGACCTGGAGTATTGCATTGCAGTTGTATAGTTTTGTTTAGCTGTGTGTGTGCGTGTGTATGTGTGTGTGTGTGTATGTATATCTATCTATCTTTCCATTGTGGAAAATAGTTCAGTGTACAGTGAGGGGTTGCAGTCGGTCTCCTTTCTGGCTTACATGCTAGCTGGCATTATTTTCACATTTCCTTTCCATTTGAGGTCAGGCTCTTTGTGTTCTGCCAGCCACCATAGGAAGCAGGTACAGATTGGCAAGAATCTGGTTGCTTGTGTTACAACATAAGCAGTGACCATACAGACCTGCTTTCCCATGCTGCATTCAGCACTGCTGTTTAAAAGGCAAGAGCTGCTCATCCTGAATAAAATAAAGAGAAACTTCATGTATTTCAGACCACAGAAGGATCCTGAGAGTATTTGGAAGAAATTTAAAAATGAGAGGAAAATACATGCAGAAAGGGGGAGAATCGAAGATGGTTTTCCCGCTTCTTTTTGATGCAATAGGTATTGGTATATAGGCATGAGGAGGAAGACTATCTGACAGGTAAACAGTGCTGTATGTGTCAACGCTGCAGTTTAATGGGGTCTGTGGCATGGAAATGAGACCTACCTTGTACTTGCAGTGGCCCACTGTGGGTCCTGACCATTTCATATTTTTTTCCTGCTATCACTGGGCCACTAGATTATCCCCGGGACTCTTCGCAGCCTGCAGTACAGTCCACATGTCTTGTTTTCTGATGCATCTTGCTTTACATTGTCATTTTATTTCTTTTAGGGAAGAGATTCAGGATTTTCTGAATTGTATTGATGCCAGTCTTGAGGAGCTCCAGGCAATGCTGTCTGGGAAGAAATTTAACTTTGGCTCTGAATCCTTTAGTGATGTGAGTGTCTCCTTATTTGCACACTTTGATTTCTCAGATGTAATAATTGAAACAGTTACATTATTTCTCCTCCTGTTGGCTTTTATTCCATAGGTGTGTGTAGAGGAGAAGATCCTCATAAATACAGATGTAGAGAATGAAATAGTCACTGTAGGGACTCCTATCAGACCATCTTATGGTTTGTTACCCTCATGTACACGTCCCCATGTTACATGGAACAAGAAATATATGCCTATTTTTATATATAAAAATATAAATGCCTGTTAGCATCACAGACTGATAACCAAGAACATTCTCCCTTCGTGCCATGCCTTAGTTACTTAGTTGCCTGTGTACCCACTAGATATTTGTGTTTGCTGCCCTAACTCTTGAGGAATTGGAGATGATGCAGCGTTTAAATATTTTTTTGGTTGGTGTTCACTGCCTTTAGAGGCACTATATGTAGGGTTTATCAGGTCAGATGTGTAATGTTAAACTGGGATGGGACTTTCCATTGCATCATTGTTACGATCTGTTTCTTGTATCTGTTGACTGGAAAGTCCTGAGGGGCTACAGTGAACAGAAGATGCAAGAAACTAACAGCCTGAATTTTAGTGCAGCGGAGCACTTGCTACTTTCATTGTAATCAGTGAGAATTATGGATGCTCAGCTCCTCTGGGGAAAAAAAAGACCGTGAGTATTTTGGGCCTTTTGGCTGAGATTAAGAGCAGCATCCGTTTATAAGGTGCATCTTCTAGCAACAGTACAGTCCTGAGGCATAGGAGATCAGAATTCTTTTCAGTTCTTGCTGTCATGCTCTGATACTGGACAAGACACTTTGCCTATGTGCCTCAGTTTCTGCTCCTGTAAATTGTGGAGGATACTAATCTGTCTCGCAGGCATCTTCTGAAGCTTCTGAAGTGCTCTTAGATTCTCAAATGGAAGGCCCTATATATTGTTGAATGTAACACATCCTCTATTAAAGGTGGTGTCCTTCCATTGAAGAGGGGAGGAATGGACTCCACAATCTGCCTGGCCTCCTTTTCCCCCCTTCCTTTGTGAACCTGCATATGCTATGTGTGTCCTTGTGATTTTTTTCCCCCATAAATATATATTATATAGTATGTTCTTTCTCTTTACCTTTAGACTTTCAATCCTGAGCTCCCAGCCCTGGACACGAACTTGACAGATGCTTCATCCAATATGGAAAATGTAAGTGTTGGGGAATTTTTCTGGTGGGAAGGACTAACAAGGTATTGAAAGAGCTGAATTTTGTTTGACCCTAGTCAACAAGTTGTCTATGTGACAAGTGAAATTAATTAGAGATACAACATGAAAACTGCCATTCTAGTTTATTTCACTGTCCAAAGAGAGTGAAGAGCAGAAATTGGGGGGGGGGGAGCTTGAACTTTAGATTTATTTGAATTATCTCAGGTGTTACTATGTGCAGCAAGTAAGAGAAAGTTGTCTTGAGTGTCCTCTTAAAGTTTGCAAAGAGTCCTGTGGCACCTTATAGACTAACAGACGTATTGGAGCATAAGCTTTCGTGGGTGAGTGGGTATTCACCCACGAAAGCTTATGCTCCAATACGTCTGTTAGTCTATAAGGTGCCACAGGACTCGTTGCCGCTTTTACAGATCCAGACGAACATGGCTACCCCTCTGACTCTTAAAGTTTGTAATATTCCTACCTATTTAGGAAAACATTTTTCACCCATTCTCATTTTGCCTTTGGTAGCGTACTCTTTGATTTTTGTCAATAGAGGTAGGGAATAATGGGGAGGGGGAAACCTAGTCAGAAATACTTTCAGTTCATATATTCATGAATTATTCACTCAACTCTGTAAATGGGGCATTGATGAATATTTGTTTTCATTAAGAATTGACACCAGTTCTTCATAGTGATGTAAAAACTTGAATAAAATACACTTCTCCCAAACACACCTCCATAGCAGCTTCCTAAAGGGAGACATAAGAACATGGCTGTTCTTAATCCAGTTCTTAAATTCCTCTCTTGAAACAGAAAACTGGTGGAAAATATGGCTTCTGATTTTACAAATCTTGAAACAATATACTTTAGTTAAATACGCTTCTCTGTCAGCCTGCTTTGGATCACGTTAATCAGAGTAAAATGCTGGCAGCTTTCATCAGCTGTGATTTAATTTGTAAGCATTGAAACAGCTTTTCATGGTCTGCACTGCTGGAATAAAAGAGCTAGCAGAGCTTTTGGTTTTGGGTGAGATCAATATTTACTGGGAAACATCTGCTAAAAACCAACTGCAGCAAACCTGTACAGGGAATGTTAGTTACCTGAATTACAAGAAGCTCCTGAAAGCTCTTATTTGCTGCACTGCCAGCTTTCACCCTCACAAGCAGCAACAGTCCTTAAAGTCAGGGCTGTGCAGATTAGTAATGGAAAGGAGGGAGGGGTGGGTGAGAGAGTGCATGCATGCCATTTTGGCCTTTTTTTGGTGGAGGTTTTAGTTAATGACTACCCCCACCCTCAGACTCTGTAACTTAACAACAGAAAGCTGGAAGTCCCAATAATATTTGAGTCTAAAAATTCTCTATTGCTAAATGTGCTGCCTTTATTTTGTTTTCACTTCCTCTCTAGATTGAGGACTTGACGGACAGTGTTGAAGAGCTAAGAACAAGTGAGCGGGAAACAGGAAACAAAGGTGGGCAGCAGGGAAAACTGGGTCTTTAGACCACCCTAAAAATACAGCACTGGGGTTTGAATTTAGCTTTCCCAACCTGTGTTGGTATGACCTCACCTCCATAGTTGAGAGCCCAGTTCAATTCCTGTTTAAGACCCTGACTTTCCATTGGCTTTAATGGGAGCTGAGTCAAGCCCTTAAGGATTTAATATAACACCATCATCTTAGCTGTTGGATTTAATTTTTCCTCGTCTCCCTTGGCCATGTGTTAATGTTACCAAGGAGACTTTGCATTTTTAAATAATTCTGTTTGCGGTGGTGGGAGCAAGTGGAATTCGGAGAGCTTCAAAGTGTGGTTCACAGCTGCACCCCCTTTACTGTGGCGGTGTGGCCCACATAGACTGCAGCTCCCAGAATGTAATGCTCTGTCCGCTTTATTTATGGAGCGTGGTAAGTGTACATACAGCTTCATGTAATGTATGAGGTCCCAACTCCGATGAGTTTGCACTCTACTTCAGGCATGAATACGAAATGCAAGGGAGCCTCAAACACAAGGTGGTTGAGGCGACAGCAAGGGAAGGCTTCATGAAAGGAGGCATATTGAGACGTGAGAGGTTGCTCCAAACAGAGGATGCAGCATGGCAAAAGGTGCAAGCTGGGGAGTGGCCAATGGGTGAGATTGGAGCAGTTGTAAAGACACAGCCAAGTGTATGGATCTAGAAGCAGAGTAGGAGGAAGTACAGGAAAGATTCAATAATGCCTTCAGGGCACTATGTGATAAGGAAAGGCTGAACCTTAAATCCAAAGTGTAAAGACAGGAAGCCACTGAGGGGATTTGAGTGAGAGGAAATAATCTTTGGAGTGACAAGAGGGGAACTTTTAACAGCAGCAGAATGAGGAGAGGTAAGTTGTTGAGAGGCTGGTGAATGCCATTTGTATAGCTTTACAGTGCAGGCTATTCTGGAAAAAGTTAATTGCATGCATTTGTGATGTAGCAGCCACAAATTGTCTCCAGCCTAAAGATGAAGGGAGACAAGTCTGCTCCATTTCACACAAGCTTTAAGGGCAGTCCTTAGGATCCTTTTTGTTTCTGGCCCACAGCTGGTCAAAGGTAGTTTACCTCTATGATATCTGAAGCGAAGGAATTTCTGAAGCAATTCTTCCCCCCACCCCATTTCCCTTTTTGAATAAGACCTCCTTGCTCTCACACCTGTCATGAATCTGAGTTTAGAATGTCTGTTTCCTTACAGACATGCAGCTGATACAATACAGGGGAAACCCTCTGCTTTCGTTATTCGAAGAACTGCCTTCTGTTGAAGGTGTAGGGAAGACAGAGGATCCTAAAGATCTTCTCCTGTCCTCACTGGAGGAGAAACCCGCTCTCTCTCTTCCCTCAAGTAACGAAGCAGCTTCACCACTGGCAGCTCCAGCAAACCAGGCTGAATCCCTTGATGCATTGGAACTGTATGATCAGCCTCTGCTCTCGGAAGACGGAAATGGAGAGTATAAATTATTTCCCCTCCTGCTTCTCAGTCCTGTTGCTAACTTTATAGAAGAGGCCTCTGAGATAGAAACTGCTTGAGAACTTGTACAAAATCTGTCAGCTTCCTTGTCTAAAATATAGAGATGGTACAAGGCTCAGCGAGAAGCTTCTATTCCTCTCCCCCCCCCCCCCCCGGGGCCTAATATGCAAAGAAATGAAAGGTCTCTTAAAAATGCAAGAGCAGTTCATGCAAGAAGCTGAAAGCAATGTCGAAACAAGAACTGCACAGCACTGAAGGCCCTTGGAAGAGGAGCAAATGTCATAAATATATTGCACTGTAATATGTAAAAAAATTTATATTGTTGCAAAAGGGAGATTTGTATCCTATTTTAAAGTTGGGCTGTATTTTTTTTTTAGGTGTCCTGTCACATCCTATTGAATATTCCAACATGGGACTTGTTCTGAGAGTCTCTTTCATTAAGTGGTTTGTCTCTTGTTAGAACTAGGTTTTTTTTAACATTTGAAAAGATGGAATATATTTTGTTTGTCTGTTGCTACAATTGTTTGCATCTGCCTGTGTAACTTTTTTCTAATCTTAGATTTGCCCCTAGGTATTAATATAGGCAAGATTATTTTCTTATGGAAAACAGTATTTTTAACATGGAATATTACTTTTTAGTAAGCTAACAATCATCCCTTGACCAGAGTTCTTAAGTGTTCTGCTAGTTAACTGATTTCTTGTGCACAATACATGGCAGCTCCTCTGGTGTAACTTGCACATAACACACGCATGGGTCACTTGACCTCAGTAGTTGGGGATCTGAGAAGTCCAGAAGGTAACAAAGTCCAGAAACTGACCTTGCCTGAGCAAAGAGCACAGTTTGACATTTTCCTGCACCTGTTACAAAACTTTGAGCTCTGCCTTGGCTCACTTGGGGCAAAACTGAAAGAGCCACATGGTGATTTTCACTAATTTAAAAAAAATTCCTGTACACTGCTCTCTTCCACTCATGATATCTCCCTGTTCGTGCAACTGCACTCCTACATTTGGCCTGATTCTGCCCTCACCTACATCTGAGGCATGGTGTACTGAGAAATCTGCACATCTTTGGCAGAACTTTGTCCTTTGCCGATGTCCTCTATTCCCAAATCTCTTCCTAAGGGTTATAATTACAAGACTGTATTTTCTCCTGTAAAAATAACGTATTCAGCACCTTTTAAAACAGTTCCCATGTTGGATATTAAGAAACAAGGGTGGTGTCAAAAATATTTTTCTCCTGAGCCCTGAAGTAACCATCCTGTACTCTGCTGCTGGCCACTGTCTGTGATCAGCTATGATGTAGAGAGCCACATTTAGCTGCTGGTATAACCTAATGATTTTCCATTGATAGCAAACTTTTAACCTGCTTGTGCTCAGGCTGGATGTGGCTCATAGTCTTTACACGGACAATATCCTGAACCAGCAAAACAGCTGGGAGCTAGCCAGAGACAAAGAACCAATTCAATAATATGATGTAATTCCATTAGAAAGAATCACAATTACTGTGAAATAACTTTACTTTGTGTTAAGTTTGTAATTAACTTGTATTCCCAACACTCTATAATATCCTGAATCTTAAGTGTTTGCCTGATCAAGAACCCGAGCTGTTTGTTTGATAGGCCTAAACACAACTGTTCCACATTTATTTGGATAGTGGCTAATGACACCAGATAGAGTAATTTGCAACTCTAGCCTGTCGGAATGTGGTTTGTAGCTCCTGTTCTCAGAGTCTTGAGTTAAATGAGGAAGTGGCTGTTTCTAAAGGTTGTGTAACTTACAAAAGGACTGGCCTAAATCAACATTTTGAACTGTCCTCTACCTAGGTGGTGGTTCATGTTTGTATCTTTTTAACTGCTGGTTGTTAGGTGTGCAGTATCCCACGCTCTTGTTAGAAAGGTTTTGGCCCATTAAACTCTTTCTTGGGTTTGAAAAAGCTTGGTTGGTTGATTTTTGGTTTTAGTTCAATTTTCACAGATTTTTGCAATCCCTAGATTTGGCCAGAAGTAGCAAAATAGTACAGACCAGACCATTCTAGTGCAATTTCAAACCACACAGTTCAGGAAATGTCGATGTTCAAATCAAAATGATACAAGAACATCTTCACTTCCCGTACTGATCTCTCTTGAGATCTCCCATCATGAATGTACCTTGCATTAGCAGTGCCAGCATTTATTCAGTCAGAGGGTTTAGATCAAGTTAATGTCTTGTTTGTTTTTGTTTTTTTTTCTCCACATTTTATTTTCTTGAGACTGTGGTTAGAAAGCTTGAGCCAAAAAACCTAAGTTTAAAAATGGAAACAGAAAATGCTGACAGCTTTTTTGTTGGTGATGACGTCTTGGAAACGTGTGAACTTGTGCAAGCTTCTTGGCACCAGCATATACTGGGTGTGGGGAGGGTGGGTAGCAAGGGAGGAACATGAGCTGAAGTAATTAAATTCTGGGATTGTAGAATCAGTACCAAGTTTGTCATGCCTTTTGTTACTTCGCATGTAAAAATGTGTTCTTGGGAGGAAAAAAGAATTGCAGCAGAGTTGGTCTGGTGTGGGACCAACCTGGGATTAGAACTTGTGTGTTGAGATGTTTTGCACGTGATTAGGGAAAATTTATTTTATTATGAAAACCGCAAAAATGAAGCGAGTCTTATCAGCTTCCAGCAGATGCAGGACATTAGCATTCTGCTTTTAAGTAATGAGGGTTAACGTTGAGTACTTGTTTCTGTAGGTGGTGGTGTAAGTGACAAACTAGCACATTGTAATGATATTGCAAAACTGCACTGGAGGGTTGTCCAGAAGGCAATGCATTGTCAAGTGATGATAATTCTGAAGTGCTGAAAGCTTGCAGGGGGCTGTTGCATCCTCCTGTCTTTGCAGTTCCACTCAAGGACTCCGTTTCTGGAGTCCCTTTTGGGGTAAGATCCTGACCTTTTGTTTAACCCACTTCTCTTCTCCTATTCCCCCCCACCCACAAAAAAAAAAAAAAAAAGAGTAAGTATGTTAAGAAGGAAGTCTGTCTGTTTGACCTCTGAAAGAGCTCCATCGCAGAAAGATCAATGGCCTCCAGGACAGGAATGGGAAGGGGCCACAAAGACATGGAGATGAAGTATGTGGGACAAATGACAATGAGGAGTGAGCTCAAAGGTACAACGAAAGAGAATGAGAGGGGGGACAGTGAGCAGGTGATCCTACACAAGTACTCTGAAAAGGTGTGCAAAGGAGCTAGCCTGTTTAAGGACTGTGTAAGTGGTGCACAGGATCAGGTCCAAGAGGTTTATTATAGCTGAACTGCTTGGTAATAGGGACCATAATATAATTAAATTTAATATACCTGTGGTGGGGAAAACACCACAGCGGCCCAACACTGTAGCATTTAATTTCAGAAAGGGGAACTGCACAAAAATGAGGAGGTTAGTTAAACAGAAATTAAAAGGTACAGTGCCAAAGTGAAATCTCTGCAAGCTGCATGGAAACTTTAAAGACACCATAATAGAGGCTCAACTTAT